TGTGAATCCTCCATAAAGCCTTGTGTCCACGATGCTAGAAATCGCTCCGAGATCTTGGACGGAGAAAGAATCGCATTGGTCAATTGCCGAATTGTTTAAATGTGATTAGATAATCAATTTCTCTCGAGTTCTCTAGCTGTCTGAGATCTCGGTACGATTTATTCTAGTATCGTGAACACAAGGCTTAACAAAGATAAAACGATACGTGTCGACTTGTGTCGCTTGCTGGAAAGCTCCCAATATGTATATCTACATATCAAATATCAAATATATATATTGAAAAAGGAATGTGAGTTCTCACGCACATTCTCTGAGAAAAAAATTTGTACCACAATTTGCATTTAATTATAATAAATTATTTAAAAATAAACTACTTTTTAATATATTTTCAAATATAAATATGTTATATATATTAATTATATGTACGAAAAAAATCATGAGAAAAGTAAAAAAGACGTTCTTTTGTGACGTCACAAAATCGTTGCGAGGAACCACAATGACGTCATGATGACTATAGAATTATGACTTTTGATTTTGCACAATACTATTTTGATAATATAGGTGCGAACACAGCGCTCCTTTTTTACCTTTTTTTTTTAATTTTGTACGGTATATATTTTTAATACGTCAAAACAATTCTGATGCAACATACAACCTATATGTGATATAAACGACAAAGCCGATAATACGGAAGCACAGCTCAACTATATTCCTCTTATCGAAGGAAAAATACGTGAACCGAGACAATCATTTCGAATACAGATTCTCAAACTCAAAGACTGTGGTATCGTTGAGAATCCCTGCAGGAATTAATAATCTACACATCTGCTTTCCCAAAAGTGCCCTTACTCTTATCATCAAAGTATCCAATTTTCGTCGCATTTACAGTAAAATTTCGTTCGTTTCACTTCTTTTAAATCCAATCCACGAGAGAATGCGCAGAGAGAGGTCCGTGATTTGAGAACCCTGGATGACGCATAAAGTTAGTCGCATCGAGCGAGTGAACAGACTGGCGGTGATTGGCGAGCGGGTACTCACGCTCGACCAATCGTGGCGTAACACGTGCCTGGGTGGTGATGGTGGCAACCAAGCGTCCTCACTTCACGTCTGTTTATTGCGTCAGTTTATTTCAGTTTATTTGCGTCTGTCACATCGTACGGTTGATGTTCGAGTTCATTCGGGCGATTCGCTTGGGTTGATCGGTCGATATCCGGGCCGAATTCGAATTTGTCACGCGGAGGATCCTGACGCGGTCGAACACACGGCGCGATCGTGTGGCTAGCGCTGGCTAGCGCGAGAAGGTAGAAATCGAGCAGGATCTCGAGAAAGTAGGACGCTTCGCGTCACGTCGCATGGCGGATTATGAGCTCCGTGAAGAGTGTCATCATCACCCTGCCTAAGGGAGTGCCCAAGGCGATCCCGAGGAACGAACCGCGCAACGCGGTGTCCAAACTCAACTTCACGACGTCGATCCTGGTGGACAAGGCGAGGATGGATGGCAGGAAGACCGCCCCCGGCGGTCAGCAAGAGGAGACGTGCGACGACGACGTCACGACGCTCCTCGAGCCCGTGGACATCCGTGTACGCGGAAAGAAACGCCGACTGGATCATCTAACGTGGGAGGAAAAGCTGCAACGAAAGTAAGCGAGAGAACTCTTATCAGGATTCACCATCTATGTACCGATCTTTAATTGGAGATCGTCCTCTCGGTCCTCAGGAAAGAGAATGGGAAGAGGAAGAACTAAGTTTTTTTTTCTCCAATAGAAATTGTCGCTCGGATATTTCATATTTTGTGATCCTGTAACGGATCCTGTAACGGATGATGTGATGGATTCCGTACACATCTTTATTATTTGCTGAAAGACTTTAAAAGACCCTGAGTTTCTTTTTTAAACAATTTTCAGAGGATCAAGATGGATCAAGATAGAAAAGGCAATTTTAACTGTCATGCACATTTTTCTATAATTCTACCAACTGACGCTTGTTTAACATTGATCTAATTTAAATTGTTAATGGCAATAAAACGCATTTCACAAGCACAAGCTATTGTATTAATTAATTAAATTTGGTCGAATCTGTATAAGATATAGAAATTCTTTTCGAAAATTCACCCTACAGAGAATTACATCAGCCAATGATTTTTATCAGTCTTGCTCATGGCACTAATTGACGCGTATCAGTTTAGCTTATCCAACAACAAAAGTTGTCTTTTTCGATAACCTGACAGTCTCATGTTTAATGTTCAGCAGGCGTGATCTCTTTACTCAGCTTGTAGATGAACCCTATCTCGCTTATCAGCGTGTGTAATATCAACGCGAACAGTTTGCCTCAACGAATTTATTCTCGGAATCAAGATTCTGAAAGAGCAATTTACGTAAGAGACTTAAGCTGGTTCTACAATACGTCGCAAACGATGGCAACTGCCAGTAGAAAAGTGTTATTTCTGATTGCCGATTGCCCAGTTACTGTCGCCAAAAAAATTAAAAGTTCGCCAACTCTCTTTTGACAACCGTAATTGACAAGCGCAACATGGAAATAACACTTTTCAACTAGCAGTTGCCATCGTTTGCGATGTATCGTAGAATGGCTCTTAAGGATGCACGAGATGCGTGTTCCACGAATTACAAGGATATTCCGCGAATTACATCCTCGCGAGGCATCTTTCGCATATCTAATGAACGCCATCTGCTCGTTACGCGTCACTTTGGCGATTCATTTCTACTGACGTAAATGCGATTACGTGATAGTCGCTATATGTATAGCGATAGATCCGGTTAATGCCTGTAAAATGAGTTTGTGGAGTAATCACCGGTAGCAGTTGTTGCGTCATTTTTCTTGTTATCAACTGGAAATGACTTGCCCATAAAAGGTACAATGAAACGAGAAATACTGTTGCATCATACATCGGGAAATAAAATAGATTAACACAAAGAAATGGTAATTCTTTCGAGAATACTAATACACATAATATCTACAGTTTTATCTGAATTTTATGAAAATAATAAAAGAAGGGAATGCACAAATTTTTAATTTTTTATCAAAATTCTTAAATTTTTTAATTTCTGCCATTATAAGTTTGTATCGAAATAATTCGTCTTCCCGTTCTTTTCCCGCGAGATAGAACTTAACTGTTTAAACAGATGATCATTTTAATTATTATTTTTTTGTTCGATTTAACATTGATAGAAAACTGAAGAATCGTGTGGCTGCTCAAACTTCGCGGGACCGCAAGAAGGCGAAATTGGACGAACTTGAGGAGACGGTGAAGACACAAAAGGAAAGAAACGAGCTGCTTACGCAGGAGTGCGCAATGCTGAGATCACAGAATGAATTGCTGACGTCACAGAACGAATGGCTGTTGAATGAAAATAAGAGGCTTAGAAACGAGAGAGACGCAGTGAGGAACACGATCACAGATCAGCAGCAAACGATCTGCTCCACCTGTCGGACCCGTGTCGACGGTGCTGTACCTTCGCTGGGATCTGCAGTATCCCCCAATGACCCTCTGCCGCAGGGTGGGACAGCACAGTCGGCATCGCGCCCGACACGGACGCTACGGGCAACGCTGCTGCTGAAATTTCTGATCTACTTCCTCTGGAAGACTTCCTGTTCAGCACCTTCCAAAGCGCCGAGCAATTCGAAGAGCTGGCAGAGAGCCTCCTACGAAATGTCAGCCCAGAAGTTGAAGCAAATCCTCAGAGATCAAATGAACAAGTGAGTCTTGGGAGTTGCAGTTTATATATAATTGCACCTCATGTTGTATTTTTACTTATTGTCACTCTTATGTTGTATTCCATTTCCTATTTGTCTCGCACCTTTTTGATTGTATCTTTTACTCACAATCGGAGCGAATAACTCATAAATAATGATAGTCGGTATGCATCCTTCCAATAAAGTGATAATTTTCTTTTTAATAAATATAGACGTATATTAGTAGTTTTTAACATTATAATTACATCGTTCGTTATTCTTTCTTGATTACAATTTTCTGTTCTTTTTCTTCTTTGAAAAAAATTGCATGCTTACGTGTAGTAAGTTGGATATGATGTAGAGATGGATGAAATATTCCGAAGTTGAACGGAGTTCTGATCTGAGTGATGCAAATGCAAGTTTTAATCTCCGGTGAAAATCCGAACGTTTCATTCATTTCCTCTGCAATCGCGCGTCCTCATGATGTAGTCGTTCTCCCTTAATGACCTGCCGATTGCGCTCCATTCCACAGGTGTCCGTCAACGAAGCTCCCGTTAAAAAATCTAACCATCCAGAAGCATTGGTGGGGCAGACATCAGAAAATGTGGAAGCCAATAGAACTGGTGGAAGCGTAAATAGCACATCCTCCTGTCTACAAACTACATCTAATTGGTTTCTCGCCGATTGCGACACAAGAAGCACGACATCATCGATCAAGACCGAGATTAAACAAGAATCAGAGACAGCATCGGATCTCGACACTCTCTACGGTACATACGACGAAACCACTAACTCCATCACAATTATGTATCCAGGCGAGGAAAACGACGGTTGCATGGGTATCCAGGAGTGCGTACAGGAGGTAGTCAGTACCGAGAACAACGTCGTCAACCAGATCACGGACGACGCTACGCATCTCACCGTTCCCTCTTCGGGCGTTCATCTGTGCTACCCGACGCAATTCTCGCCGGCGTACACCAATTCCATGTCACCTGCTATGAGCGATGTGGACAGCTGTGGCGTCAGTTCTTCGGCGAAGCAGCTAGACTGCGCCAGTTTGTCGGATGGTGGATACGAGTCTCACGACTCTCCGCAATCACACGTGTCAGACGCCTTGTTCGACCTCTGGTCTGAGAGCTTCAGCGAGCTGTTTCCCACGTTGGGCTGACAGTTCCAGATAAGGCGTGCTGCCAAGGCGAGCGCCAGATCGATGTCGAATCGTTACATCTGTGATATGGAGAATTTTAGCGAAAGTAGGATACAAAAGAGAAAGGAGAGAGAGGCTAGCTTTCAGAAAAGATCATTATAATACGCAGTCTATCATTCATTTGACATTTGATAAAAACTTTCAAGCTTCGATTAGACTTTCGCACATTTCTTTTTATCAATATTGAGCAATTTAGCTTCGTAATAAACGTTTTGAATGAAATGGGTAATCTTGGAAATGTAACTTGTTGCAAGTTATGTAAATATTTTGTAATAAAGACATATGTACTTAAGTTCACACTCAACGTGTGCGTTAATTATATCTATATAATTAAATTCTTTTACATTATGTAAATGATAGCTATAGGAAGAGACAGAGTATAACTAATTTAAAAAGGCTTTCTAATAAAAGTTATTATAAAATAGCAGAGAGACGGTTCAGGCCTCTATGAAGAGATAAATTTGTTTCCTCTCTCTCTCTCTTTTGTCATAAGTTTTGGATAGTAGCTTTATGCAGCACAAATAATTAGCACTATACGTATTGTCACGTATTGTCTAATTTGGTTTAAATTAACAGTATATCAAATTATTTGCAATGCAAAATTAATAACATTAAGACGAGTGACTTTAGTAAAAAGAATATATTTTTGTATATATATCCAAGATTATAAATTTTCTTTAATTTATTTGATGTTGTAAGAAGATAAGTAAAATAGTTTTCCATAGACACAACCAGTTAATTTTTTTTACATATACACACGTACACAGATGCCTCTATTTAAGAAATTTATTAATGTTACATGTCTATACATATTATATATAGTGTGTATATATATATATTGATTTTTCGATCTTCGCTGTGCAACAGAAATAAATCTGAAACTAATGGTATATCTTTTGTTTTCCAATTCTGTGCGCTAAAGCGTCGTTTGTACATGGTGACGCGAATTTGTTCTACTATATGCGATTCAATATAGCAGGCATGGTAAACTTGTAGCGCTGTTTGCGCGGTAATGTTAAACTGATTATTATATTAGTGCTATTTAAATATCTTATAAATATACGAAATCTTTCTAACGCACGGGAAAAGCTTTCATTAGGGAGATATTTGGTGGCAAAGATACGGTTATACAAATATTACTAGATATCGATACAAATTATTAATAAAGATAAACTATAGCACCCTTTTCTCGTTAATCGTTAAACGGCGTGACAAACTCAAACTGAGCGGTTTGAGAATACGTGCGCGATTTATTATATAAAATTAAATAGTTTATAAAACGCACAAAGATCAGAATGTTTTATCGTATTTATTAAATTTTCAACCAATTTAAATTTTTTAATGGAAATTTGATAAGAGAGAAGGTTTATCACGATTTTTTAATTTCAATTTTCAAATATATCCATAAATTAAGTTTCTATTAAAATTTATTCGATATTAATCGAAGGATGGGATTTGAATTGTACTTATATCCATTCAGATATAACAACTTTACAATTTCCTTGAAAGAAGAAATTGTGTAAGATAATACGATCTCATCGATTAAAAAATGGTGACAGGATAATAAATTCTTTAATCTTTTTACAATAATCTGTAACAATCAAAATTCTTATAATAAACGAAAATTAGGCGACCTAACTGGCCAAAAAATTCCTCTATATTAAAACTCACGATGTTTCTTCGACCATAATCTAGTCCTTTTCAAGTGAGAGATATTTAAAAAGGACTCGTGAGTTTTAATATAGAGGAATTTTTTGGCTAGTTAGGTCGCCTAATTTTTTATTATTAAATATTTACTGGCGAAGAAAAGGTCTTTGTCATTGTAATCAAAATTCTACTCTTTTTGCATGCATTCGTTAGTCAATATTGATTTAAAAAATTGAAATTCTAGAAGGCTACTTTAGACAATGTGAGTCCTCGTCTCGCGCTTTTATATAGACAATCAAAGCAAGTAAGTGTTTATGTCGTATACGTATTTCGTCAAGTATAATAAAACATTGCCAAGAGAAACAGCCTCTCGTTTCGTTATGTTACAAAAAAAGTATTCCGAAAAATATGAATTATTTATCCGAAGAGTTTGTCAAAGCAACCATGGCAGTAAGGCTTGTCGTTTTGCTCCTTGAACGTGCCCTTGTTCAACTGTTTTAGGCAAAACGCGCACACAAAGTGCTCGGGATGGAATTTGCGGAACATTGCTGTTATACAACGACCTGAAAAAAGTGAAATGCAAAAGAGACATGTTAGCATCATATTAAAAATCTTAAATTTCAAATTTGGTGTATTTACCGGTAATGGGCTTGTGACATCCTGCACACAAGGATCCTCTCTTGGCATGATAATGTGTCTCGCAATACGGCAATCCTTCATGATCGAAGAAGGAGCCTCCCTGAAACTTTTGTCTGCAATCCTGCAAAATAAATAACATAGACGTGTTTTGAGAGCATCATATAAAATAAGTTTGATATATACACACACGTACGCGAGAAAATATTGCAAAATTCTATAAATCTTAGAAAAAATCCATTTCAAAATCTATTTAAAAATAAATATATCATGTCCTATAGAAAAAACATTGGAAAAATATACGAGATTTTACATCGTAAACTGGATGTTTTCAATGAAATCTATATCATTAATATCATGACATGACAGAATCCATAGTTCCTGAGAAAAAAATATTTGCAAAAATTTAAAAATTACAAGAAATCAATAGTAATTTGAAAACATCCTGTACGCATATATTCTGTACTATTATTCCTCGTCTCTTATTCATATCTTGGCCTCGTCTTGAATAAAACGAGATACATATGAATTTAAACAAAACTAAATAAAAACGACTAGAGATCGACATTTTGTGTTTATCACTTATAGATAATAATAAAATGTATAGTATTACCAAAAGAATCGAATTTTTAATTAATATGTATTTTTTTTTACTCGCTTTAGTTAGCTTCCTTGACGCAAAAGAAGCTATTATATCTATTCATGTGATATTTAATTATTTAGAAAATTTTTTCAAAGAGAGATAAAACATTCGATCGAGAGAAATTAATCGTCTTACTTTTTCCAAGATAAATTTTTTATATCAATTCGATTCATCTGCTGCTACTATACAACCTAAGGAATGAAAACATCCATCTGTGACGACGGCATCGTCCACACTACAGCATTTAGTTTGGCTCTTCCCCATATCTGTTACCACAAGACGCACATCTCCAAGTCGCTATATGTGTAGATGCCCTAGTCGACTCTTGGTGTCGTGTGTGTCTTTTTGTTTTAGAGGTTTGTTTTCTTTTTTTGGGGGAGTGGGGATAGAGTGAGGGAGGGATAGTTTATTTCTTTACTTCTCATAAACAATACTATATAATTCGCGCGGCTCGACAGAATTCCTCTCCATTGTCAAGAGCTCGGCACAATGTCAAGACGCGAGCTTGAAAACGAAAGCAGCTAGCTCGTACTTGTGCTTGCCGAGAGTATGCCCTGTGATGCAAGAGGTGTTGCGTCCGATGCGTGTGCAAAGTGTGTGTTTCCGATGTGTGTGTGTGTGTGTTTCACGATGCGGAATTTAGACGACGGTGATTTGCAGTCAGCGTTTCTCCACTCTTGGTTTCCCTCAGCGTCAAGCTAAATCACCTGTCAAAGGATCAGGGGGGGGGGGTGGCTCCGCATTCATAGAGCCAGAGGGCATACAGGGGGCAACATATCGTGCGGGGGTAACTGGGCAATAGTGACAAAGAAAATCAGCGTGAGGAATTGGCATGATGTGAGGCGGCGGGATCGAGCAATGTCCTACGCCTCTTGCTCTTCCTCTTCCTCGTCGTCGTCTACCCCGACACATTTGGGGCACACCGGTTGTCCTTCCATCGCGTAAAAGGACTTTCCGGAGACTGGCTTCTTGCAATCCTGTAATTGTCAAAGTTTAATGTGTCTGCGTTTCTTACGACATTTCTTCCGCGATTTTTCGAGATTTTTAAGATAGCATGAAGGAAACAAAGATGTTGACGATCTCGTGAAGCTTGAGCTGAAAATAAAATTTGGTGATGAGACAGATAAATTTTGCGAGCATGATACCTACCCTGCACACGAAGCAGTCCGGATGCCACTGACTGTTGAGAGCAGATATATAATTCTCCATGATAGCACGGTTGCAGCCGCCGCACTTGGGCGCGAACATGTCGAAATAGTCCTCGCGGCAGTAGGGCTTGCCGTCCCGTTCATGGAAGCCCTCCTCGCCGAACTGCTTACCGCACTGGGCGCAGAAGAAGTGTTCGGTGTGCCAAGTCTTCTCCAGGGCGGTTACGCATTTCTGGAAGAAAAACATTTTTCTCGCATCCGTGAGCGAATTTACAAGATGAAAATTTTGAGGCATTTAGGAAAAAAGTATTGATTGACCCAGAGATGATTGATTGATATTTCTCACTTTATGTTTTATACTTTATGACCAGTATAACTATGTTGTAGTTCGAATTGATGATTTTTAAATTTTAATTTAATAGAGTTATTTTTTCAGCTATAAGTGAAAAAAAGAGTTTATAAAGTTAAATTAAAATTTAAAGTTTATCTTCGAACTATAAATGTTATCAATTTGTGTTAAGAATATTAAAGTTCAGACATTCCATGAATGCCAAGGGATAAAAATTTCAAGTGAAACGACAGTTTATGTCGGGTCCTTTTTATTATTTTCTTCACGAGACATTCTTCGTCTCAGTTGCACTTAGATAGAAACCAACATAAGCTAAGAGGCTTATACTCTTTCCCTCAAAAGCCCCGAGAATGTTCCCGCGATCCTTACATCGAGAATAGGCCCGTTGCAGTAAGCGCAACGAGGGGAGAACAAGTTATGGTAGTCCGTCTCGCAGTAAGGATGACCCTCCCTCTCAAAGAAATTCCGCGTGCCCAATTCCTGGTTGCAGTGGGTACATGTAAAGTGTTCTGGATGCCACGTCTTCCCTAAGGCCGTTATCACCTGTGTAGCAAGAACATTATTAAGTGAAGGAGGATATCCAATCGCCAGATAGTAAGATCAAGCTTTCAAAAATCATGATGCAGTTGAGGGCTACCTGGCCCACGATGGGCTTCTCACAAGCGTTGCAGCATCCCTTCTGGGTTGTGTTGACTCCTTGGCGGCTCATGTCGGCCTGGAGATTACCAAGCATAGAATCCAACTGGTTCTGCTTGAGAGGTTGGCTCTCTCCCGGATGGTAGAGATGGGTCGTGTGGGTCTCGGTGATGTGGACGCGAGTTTGCGTGCTCTCGGTGGGTAAAGGGCTCTGCGAACTCTTGGTGGCCTTGTTGGGCTTCGCGTATGGAGAATCGGTCACCGTCTGGTGCTGATGGGTGCCGCTATTGATCTGCAAAGACACGCGAATCGTAGGATCGAGCGCGTAAAAATCCGGGTAACAACTCTCTATCCGAGAGATTGAGACAATCCGAAGTGCGACGTAAGCGCTTCGGTCTCGATCTTGTGGTTGAGAAAATGAGGCGATAAGGAATTTAAAGAAAATATTATTTTCCTTGTAGCTTCTCTGACATCCCATCGTTTGCTATTCTAAAGTGTGAAAAGGATTTCCTCAACCTCGAGATCGATAATCTCAATTTCTCGAAGAGCTGAGATAGTTGCACTCGTTGCACTGAACCCTCGAAAAAGGAGGATGTACAATTCTCTGCGTAATTCTACGAATCTGTATCAATCGTGCACGTGTCTGTATGCGTATGTACGTGTCGAGGTGTCGAATGAAAGGGATTGGGATGCGAAAGTTGTTCAAGGGTGAGTATCGGCGTGACTGATTTGACGGACAAGGTGAGAGAAAAGGGTCAGATCGAGATGTCAAGGGTGCGAGTCCGTGAGGTGTCGAGTGAAGAGAAATTAAAACCCACGGGCGAGATGGATGAGGTAAAAGTAGGAGATGTAGATCGCCACGGGCGAGCTTGCAGACTAGCCGAAAGTTCCGGGCATTCCGGCGGGTCGTACCGACGCGCGGGTGCCCCACCTCTCCGTGGCTTCGTCTGCTTGGTCCCCCTTCTTTCGCAGCCGCGGGAAACAGGGGGAGATCGTCGGGAAGGAATATGTAGTGCGGCTCCGGTAAGAGGTAGTCCCCGGCTCCACGGTTGTGGCGAGGTGGTTATTTTCGTAACGTGGGGAGCCAAGAATGGGCAGGAGTGGATTTAACGCCCCAGTGTTTTTCGATTCCACGGCAAATCAAAGCGGCGAACAGTCGGGGGCAGTGGGACAGCCTGTACTTGTTTCGTCGACAGCTACACGTGAATCCGTTTACGGAAGAATGGAACTTATGCGAAAAAAACAATTGTATACCTTCAAGTTCTTTATCTTGGAACGGTAGAGATCTTCTAGATGTTTGAATGTTACCTTCAGACTTAGTTATGTACACAATGCAGACGAGAAGCAACATATGCTTACTCTTTCGGTATGAGATTAAACGTGCGTAAAAAAGTCCATTCGGCTTCCAGCCAACAACAAACCCTAGAGTTTAATTTAGTTTATTTGGTGATTTTTCATGCTCATTGGCAACGTATGAAGGCTGAAAGCCGACGTGGATACCGAAAGAGCTATTTAACCCTTTAGAAATGGCGGCATTCTCTTCAATCTACAACTTTCTCACATTTTTTTACGAATTTCTCAATTTGTCGATATTTACAACATATATTTTAAACATTCGAACGATTTGTCAATTCGTATATCTTCCTTTTAATCAATTAAAATTATACATTTAAATTCTCTCAAAAACAAAATATATATTAACAATAAGATATTGGCCGCTCCGCAAGGGTCATCGCGTTATGTACGCAATTATGTGATTATGTTATGGATGGATGGATACCTTAAATTCGGAAAGCGAAGCCATTAGGTCGTCCAGTTCCTTGGTAGCGTTACTCGCGGTATGACCGTTAGGGTAACTCCGGTGAACTTCGGTTCGACTCAGTGAGCCATGTTGACTGGAGGGATAGCCGTCGTAGACCGGCTGTATCTCCGTAGACGTCTCTTGTATGGTGACTCTCACTTTTCCATCAGTGGGGTAGTCTCTGCTCGAGGGGGAGGGAGGGACAACAGTCCGTTTTACCGAATGCGAATCATCTTGGGGATCAACACCCCCATTAATCGCCGGCGAGTTTGATTTTCTACGATCGCACGAATCGAGCGACAATCGTTGAAGTCTGAATTCGCCGGTTTACAATCAACTCAATCTCGAAATTATTAATCACAAGAGTCAGATATTTAAAAGCAGCCTGCTTGATATACAACTCTTACATTGTTTTGGGATTAATTTGCGGCGACATAGAAAGCTCACCCGTTAGGCACTGCGGTGCTTAATTCCTCGAGCAATGAGTCGACGGTGGGTCGAGAGGCTGACATGCTACTTGGAGAATGAAGCATGGGACTGGTCGCACCTCCGTTCACGCCTGTCGTGGACGCGTGGCTGTCTATAATCATCGAGCAACTCTGTACGATAAACTGCTCCTGTGAAACTGTCTCTTTGCCCTTTTCCGAAAGGCTTAGCAGTACGTAAAGAAAATGAGAAAAAAAAAATAGAACGTTATCGAAATTATCACGCTCTCTTATACAATATGTAGATTCGTTTTCCGCAAATTTAAAGTCGATTTCTATTCAGCAACTTTCGTCGATTTATCTTAGAATAGAGTAATCGACTTTATACATTTTTGAAATAAAATCGCGATTTCTAAAATTTGCTCAAATCGTATCGAAAAAAGATTGATTGGAAAACAAGATATCGTTAGTCTTATTCGCGTCTATGAGATTTAGAACGGTATTTATAGTCGGTTCTTACTTCAAGACTGTCTTATGTAATGCCTTAAGATGCTAATACGGTTCTGTGATTGGTTCGTAACATCTTAAAATTGTATTTAAGATAGTCTTAAATATAAGATTCGACTATGAATACTCTCTCTCTGGCCTTAATCTGTGAAAAAATTTTTATGTCTTACACCGTGTGTGACTTTTTACAGAGAGATTCAGAGAGACATAAATTGCAAGGAGTCGTCAAAAAGTCTTGCTCATTGAAATTGACTATTCGGGACAGGGTTAAGAGTAAATAGTCAACCTCGTTCTTGATAGTGGGCATTATAGCGCGCGTTGCTCAGGTCTTGCAGGAGGGTGTCCAGCTCGGAAAGATTGTTATTGAGGGAAGGCATCTTGCTCCCGGTGCCGGCCTGGGTATAAGACGCGCTTCCAGTTTTACCCATGGTTTCCTCTATCGCCTCGCGGTTCTGATAAGTCGGCTACAACATTCAGGAAAGACCGGAAAGATGAAGCGATTAAGGGGATGCTAAAGCCGTCCAAATTACCGACAATTACATTTCAAAGCTCTCATTTTGAAACGGCTTTATAGATCGCAAAATCCTTTTACAGGAGTAAAGTAGAGGTACTAATGAAGGGTGGGATTGTCAAATAATTAGTAATAATTGAAAAAAATTTTTAAATGTTGTCATCTCATAACCTTATTTTCTGATATAAATAGTTGTATACGTAATATGTACGAAATTAAAGTTTCCCACCCTTCAGAAGACGTGCACAAACAATAACGTACCTTTGAAATTGAGATTGAAAGCCTGGAATAAAAATGAGAGCTTTGAAACGATCGTGTATATTTTTCACAAAAATATTCACGCAGAGCAGCAATTATGTCACAGCAGTAGTTCACGGATCTTGCGAGAGATGGCGAGCAATCGAAAAAAGGACAGATGTCATTTCGTTAGACAAAGACAGATATAGGGAAAACAAAATTAGAAAGGTTGACATTATCGACATCGAGGAAGTTCGCCAGTCACTGTAGGATCCCCTTAACGGCTCCAAGCTCGTTCGTATCATAATTGTGTTCATCAAAGACACCAATCTTTTTATCAATTTTACATAATAAAAAGAACTGTCTTGAAAGGATAAATATAACATCTTATTCTTTTTTTTTTCATAATAAGTTCACGTGTGTCTTAAAATATTTATTTTTATTAATTTATTATTTATCGTTGACTGCGCGATTTCAAGCGCAAAATTTAGCCCTGTGTTAGTTGATAATTCTGCTGTTAATTCCACGCTTGTTGACGAAATTCCAGCCTGACAACGAGTGTTATACCTATTTGTTTTAATCATAGAATAGTAAGAATTAACTAACAATTTAAATTAAGCTCTTAAATATTGAAATGTCGGAAACGGTTAGAAAATTTAATGTCAACCATAAAGAGGATTTTCTTCGGATGAATGGACAGTACGGAGATGATTTGAACGACAGCTGCACGACTTTCTGCATCTACCTAAGATTATACTCTTGGCTTGTTAATCGACAAAAAGCGATGGTCTGCCAAGTTTCCACAAAATGCATTATTATTTAGAACCATGATGTCACTAGAATCATTATGCGGCGCGTGTGGAACGTCGTCGTTCAGAACGACATGCGTTTTTAGTCCCGACAGAATCAATTTTAGATTGCTTTTAGTCGCGAGAGTAAATATCCTAAAAATATGATCGCGTCCCGTCTGCTTAAAAAAGATAAATGTTCGATAATAATATTAAATAAGATTCATTGGGAAACATAAGGAAGTTTTTGGCGTGTCACATGATTTAAACAACACTAGTACAATTTATAATATTTATGTAAAATAAACTCATGTCATATGTGCAATAATTTGAATTTTTAAATAATATTAATTGAATATATATTGTTCTGGATATAACATTTGTCCATATCGTCCAACATTAACGTTAAAGATAAGATTTAACAAGTAAGCCAAAGATGTTTCAATTACAAAATTGGCAACTCGCGAGAAGTCGCTCCGACTTGTTTACCGAAATTAAATTTGATGCTTGACGTCAGGCTAATCGATGGCCAAATGAGATCCGCAACTATCCGTAACGATAAATTGGAGCTTACGAGTCTTTGAACAGGACTCGTAAATGATGCGTAACGAAAGTAGCGCAATTGAGTCGGTCTCCAATAACCTCCCTGCATAAAAATAAATCACCGATTACGCCGGTTATTCTCCTCGCTATTTAAACCACAAGACATCAATAGATATTATTGTTAGTTAGCTAAGAAGTTAATTGTGTAATTTATATCTAAAATACATTAAATTTGCCTCTTTATCTTTATTCATACAGCGCGTTCACCGCAACTGTCGCAAGTATTTACATTTATATTTCAGGATACTTTTTACAACTCTCGTAAGACCGTATCATAATATTGAAATAAACGATTTTCCAGATCTTCGTTTATTGAATAATTTATGATCTTTCAAATAACACCCAAAAATAATAGACAAATTGTAGTCGAATTTCTGGGAAGCGAACAAGGACGGTGAGATTTATCGCCAAACTCCCGCGCGACTATATTTTTTTTGCAATAAAACAGCATTACGGCGCATCCTGCTGGACGGAAACTAGGTTACACGAACCGACACTGAGCTGTCGGTCTAAAAATATATTCGCGGTTAGCCAGCAGAAACATGTCAGTAAGACGTATCGGCGCTTAGCGTGGAAATTTCGGCGGCGACATCATTATTAACGCGACGGAGCATCTGCAGGGGATGTCGTGCGATCTTTTACATCAATCGGACGCGAGACGCACCTACCAAATTATCGACAAAAGATTTTTTTAAAACAAATTTAGTTTATTTCTTATAAGAAAAAAATACAAAAATACTCGCCTTCTATGAGTTTTCAATCTGCAATATAAGAATAACCAATTTACCAAGAAGAACTAATTTATTACAAGTTAATTATTTTCGAAATTTTTAACAAATCAATCATTTTCAATAAAAAAATTCTTTCAAAATTTTTCGTTGGCTCCTATCGTGATTAAAACGGTATTTGCGAGGTACTTCACATATTATACTCCTCTCATCTGAGACACCCCACACCCCACGCGTCCAGCATCTGTGTAGCTCCAATCCGTCACGGTCACGTGCTCGCGTTGTTACCGCATTCGGCGACGTTTATGCAACGGGCTATAATGGCAGATGCAGATGCATCGAATCGCGTTCTGGAATCAAGTACTGGCGCGTGCGAGCTAAATTCGCACGTCAAAGGGAAAGCTTGTACAGCCCGAGTGACCTTCGGTAATCCGGCATCCGGTAGGATTTGGCACTCGAACGGTAATTCGGCAAGAAATGGTTATTGCCATTGTCGATTGCCATAATCCGAGACGTTATTTAGCATCATGTAATGCAATTACGCGTTGGTCAATGTTGCGAAAAACAACCTTGAAATAGCGAAGCTCAGAGATATCTCAAACCAATAAAAAATTTATTATTACGAACGTTTTTTGCTTTATAACAGATTATCCGCGACAAAGAATTAATAACCAACAGATTTTACGATATTTTTAATTAATTTAGTTAATTAATTATTAACCATCTTAAAAACAAAAAATTTACAATAAATAAAAATACAATTTTTTGTTATTTATAATTGATAATAATAATAGCTAAAGAAAATTTTTTGCGTATATTGTAATTTTTAAATGAAAAATTATAATATAACGTACTACATCAAAAACTTCTTGAACTCCTCGCGAAACAAGCTCGTGAGAATTTCGCCTAGTTGGCCGTCGCGAAAATAGGTCTCGGACTGTATCTAAACTGGATCGCGTCACATCCGAGAATGACGACTGCAGTGCAAACTTGATGACAGATCGATGCGGTAACAACACGTTCCGAGAAGAGTAATGTGAATGGCGTGACTAATACGAGCGTGATTTGTAAGGGCCAAAGCACATAACATGGCGTAGCGATATACGACGGCCGTAGTCCCCGACCTGACAGATCAGGATACGCCAAAGCTTGTGCGTTACTTACATCCACGACTACGACTATCATATGTGCTTTGGCCTTTAAGGACGTTCTCTCGTCCTTATACTAGAGAAAATCGATTTTCTTAGGATTTTCTTGAAACTGTGAATATACGTTAATTTAGGTGTGCTTTATGCGTGGTATAAATTTTAGTACCTCTTCCGGGATAAAAAATGAAGATACTGAGCCTCAAAGTTTAAAAAAAAATTTAAAATTTAATTTTTTTTACGAACAATTAGAATCAAAAGCCATGCGATCCAAGCTTAGGTCTTT